CCCATAGAGAGCTAGAAAAACAAATGAAAAGTATTGGTTGAAGCAAAATTAATTATAGAAGACAACTTATGACGAGTATAAGAAAGCGACAGGCAAATTTATTTGGACATACAAAGCGGAAAGAAGCAATTGAGAATATTGTAACAACAGGCAAGTTTGATGGAAAGAGAGGCAGAGGCAGACAGAGGGAAAAGATGCTGGACAAGATGACAACATGGCTAGGAGCAGCAAGAACAACAGACACCATTGCTGCAACGCAAGACAGAGTGAAGTGGAGGTCCATGATCGCCCACGCCTGTCGGCAAGGCACCGGATGATGATGATGAATACGTATTGCCACTAAAACGCGTCATTGATGAGCTCTGACGAGGGAGTAGAAATACAGTACTTTAAATAAGTTTATGAAGAAAACTTTTTTTTTAAATCTAGCCTCAAATTTTAAGGAAAAGTTTGATTAAATTACAAACTTCTGTGCAATGTACGGTTAAAGAGATGTTTGAGGATAAGTTGCAAAACGAATTTTTGACCACACTATAATTAAATACCCCATGGGTCAACATGGTCAAAAGAAGCACTTATGTCATGTCAACATTTTAACTTGGTGCTCCCGCTACGTTGGTATTTTCTCTCCAGCCTAAGGATTTCCTGAAATGTGGTGTAACCTAAATACTACTAAAGGAACACATTCCATTTTTCAGGAAGTTAAGAAAAGTGCACCTTTTCAAGTTAAACTGATTACTTTTATAACTTCAACTTTTTGCGTGGCAAGCTCTCTTGGTATTTTTTTTCTCTCAGAGGAAGTGAATATAAATTTTTTAAATTGAAAAACCTACAATGATTACGTAGGTTGATTGGGTTTAGGAATTAGTGTACTGTAAAGAAGAAACACAATATTCCGTCGATGTGCATTGGTCTTGGTCTGTGACAAAAGAGACGTCTCCATTGGTGCCAAAACTTTAACTTTTAGAAAAATGTTATTTTATGTTGTTCACTTCTATTTAGATCTGTAGTTGGCAAAAGAACTTTTTCACGTCAAATTTGCAAGACAGATTTCTAATGCTTTGGAAAGTAAATGTCGTCAGTACCCATTTTTGACAAGTCTGTTTGTTCCGTTTGCAAGTGTGATCGAGTGTGAGAAAGCAGAACTTTGAGTTTCGTGAAATCCGAGACCGTGCTAATGAGATTTTCTTGTAGTGCTCGTAGTTAAGAAATGTTTGTATGGATTGGTTATGGTCGTCAAAGAATCAGTTGCACAAAAGCCATTCTGCACATCGTTGCTCCCATAAGGAAAAATAAAATTATATGCAGATAAGAGATGAAAAAGCAAGACCAGGAGACAACCAGAGAGTAAACATAGTATCAAAGGAGTCCGTAAGGTATGATTTTTCTAGATCAGATGACACCTCAGCCCCTTGGTTTGCCCCAGCCCTTTCGATGACTCGAGAGTCGGGGTGGGGGTGGGGTGGCAGTATGAAATAAAAATAAACAAGGCTATCCATCCAACCTTTTGGGCCGGCATCACGGGGCACTTTGGATTAGTCATTGAAAAGAGACTTAAGTATAGAACATGTGCCTGTTCTTTTAGTCTTTCACCTTTAAAAAAAGGAATCATGTTATCTTAGAGATAGATAGAACCTCAAGAAACACTTCATTATATAATTTTCTTAATTTTTAAAGGGTTTTTTTTGGGGGGGGAAGGGGGAGGGCAGAGACAATTGCGCGATTTTCTTTCACTGTCTATTCTTTACAATGGCACTAACGAACATTTGTCATCTCAAGCGTCGTGACGCCACTGCTATGTTTGGCCTTTTCTCGCCTAGAGTCGGCCTGGCGTGCCTGGGGTTTTATTTCCTCCCTTCCGCACTACACGACCCCGAAGGTGTCAAAGTGCTTCTTCTTACCCCAAATAACTCCTCTCTGCCCATCCCCTCCATAGCTAGCGTGTTCCCAGTGAAAACTAGATTGAGTGAATTAATCGCCAATTGTATCAGCTGACTGTCTAAACAGCTCTGGTGACCTTTGTGCTGAGGTGGGGCTCTCGTGAGGGGAATGAACATCCAACTGTGAAGTCAGTTAGTGCTCTCATTACCTGACCCCATCTCTGCAGCACGTTTTGTATTGTCAACAATCTGAGAGGGACCTCGTTTTATTGTGGCAGATTTCTCATAACCATCTGCACGCCCAGCACACCGAGAGCCCACAGACGCGCGCGCAAACACATACACGCACATACATACATACATGTATATTCATATACTCTACCGACACACACACACACACACACACACACACACACACACACACACACACACACACACAAT